AAAGTTGGGTAAAACTGTAATATGAGTACCTATCTAAAATAGTGAGCCCCCTATGGCATTTTAAAAACCTGGAGCCTATGACGGTGAGTATAGTTGCTCTACATGGTACCTAATGTATACATACGAAAATATTAGCAGCCAGCTGCCATAAAATATACGATATTATTATTACAAATCGGTTGTAAAAGTCAAACCCCCCTACTAAGGGTAGTGCTAGAACAGAACGCGATAGGTTGGGAAAAATGAAGTGATAAGATATATGCAGTGTGGTTCCCATAGGTCGTAGAGTATATACTCCTTATACTCTCAATATTTTGTTGAAGAATCACTGGTATACTGCGTATACTCTCAAATAGTTGAAAAAAAAATCTGTCATGATATATTATTATCATGACCCATTATCATTCATACAACTTACGTCACTAAAACCTAAACAGTAATACAAATTGAATTTGTTTCAGTAATTATTATAACGATACATAATACTAAACTTTATTTTTAAAAATACCGAGTGTTTTTTTTCCACCTTTAATAATACTAATATTGTTCTCGCCTCGAGTGTGACAATACAGACAAATACATCGTACTGTTAGAAAGAAAAAAAAACAACACAAAACGAATAAATATAACGTAGGTAATATCACGAATTGGGCGATCTCGCCGATAATCTGCAGCATAATATAGAATATAGAATATTTATAAATGCAAATTCCTAATAGATTCGAACCTATATTAGGAATTCACAAATTTCAGTCAAGAAACCTACCTGACTGGAAGTCCAGAAAAAAATCAAATAGGGGTTTCTAGTACGTTCCCGGCTGTTGGGAAACGTACCAACACGGCAATTGTAAAACGTGGGTGCGCACGTACAATTAAATATAACATCTCGTACCGTTTTATTATGTTTTTGATATGCCTGCATTGATAATCTGTTGTTTGCGTTTCTCACCGCCCGCCCGTCGCATTAAACCCCGGCCTGATGCCGTTGAATAAATTACAATGTTATATCCGACCCCGCACAATATCGTGTCGCGTAGTATTGCGATACTTATGTCGATTGGCCGTGTCGAGCAACCCGTACCGCAGGTCGGTGCGCGGGATCAAATCCCGTGCGCGTTCGTGAAAACGGCGGGTTGGTGGAGAGAATCGCAAGACGGGAAAACCCGACGGCCGGATTGTCCGCGGATGCGCGTGAACGACACACACGCCGACGAATCGTACGCACCGGGCATTTCGCCGTTTACGTTCGCCGGGCCCAAAATAAGCCGTCACGTTTCGGCGACCCCCGATAAAGTTGCAACCGCGGCGTCGACACCCCCGGCCGTAGATGCCCGCTACGATATTACATAATCACGCCCTTATCGACACTACACGTCCGTGCACAATATCGTAGACGTTTATATACACACGTCTCGGCGACACGAAACATGCTGCGCCGGGTATTGCGAACGCCGACGGCGGAGGATCGCGGACACGCGTGCGATTCGGCCGCCGTCTTAATACGCGGGTACTATTTCCTAAACAAACAATAACAAACGAAAATAGTCGCCGTTATAACATACGCACCTTGTTCGTCTCCGGAACACCTGCCGGCGACGGTCATCGCGACCGCCGTCTTGGTCGTCGTTTGCCGGCTACTGCCGGCTCCTTCACTGCAGGCAGCGGCGGTCGACATGGTCGCGCGCGCCAATCGGTTCACGATTCGGTGATAATAATAATAACGCGACCGTTTACTTTGCTCGCATAATACCAATGAATAATAATAATAATGATAATAGTGGCGATATTATATTAACGAACTTTCGTACTCGATCGGGTAACGTGGTATACACACAGTTTATGTACTCGCCGGCGAAACCCGTACCGTAAAACGTGCGCACGTTCAAAATGGAAAGAAAAAAAAACAAACAAACGGATATTGTAAAAATGTTAGGTATATCGCCACGACGGTGAGGGTCGTGTTGTTAGTCGCGGACGGGGTGTGTGCGTAGAGTACCTACGTTCCGTTTGTGTGCGCGCGCGCCCGCTCCGCGTGTGTGTGCGTCAGTTGTACGAAAATGCGCACACGCGACCGGTGTGATACTCGAACGCCGCGGAACGAGACAACGTACAAGGACACGAACGACCGACCGCGAGCCGAGCATGTGTGCTACTGACGATGGCGCGCGTTGTGCGGAGTCTTCCGCGTCGCCGTCCGGTCGCCGGTCGTTGGCGGTGGTTACCAATGTTACCATCATCTACCGCGCGCCCGCGCCGGCCACCGAGCTTACCGCCACCGCGACGTCGACCCGTTGTCACGGTAACTGCGTCGTCGCGAACGTTCGGACCATTTATTTCCTCTCTCGGGATTCTGTCCACACGACCCCGTCCGTCTCTGCGGTAAGGTTAGGTTAGTTCGCCGGCAGAATGTAGGTACCTCACTTGCAGTCCTTCGCGTCGGAAGCGCTACTATGGTAAAATTTCGAACGTCTCTTCTTTCTTTTTTTCTCGGTACAAATGTTTCTCTTTTTACAACTATTCAGCTAGTATCGGCTCCCAATGTTGTAAATGTTTCCGTCGGGATCCACATTTCGTTTCCATAATATTATATTATCATATATCGTATATTATAATATTATATTATATTATCATACATACGATAATAATAATACATAATAATATTGTACGTTGGGTATTTACAATTTTACGCCGGCTGCTACAGCCAAATGATCAAGAAAGAATGTTTAACGCGTCGAAATTAATACCGTTTACAATTCACGTTAGGGAACGACGTGATAGGTCATATTAAGTTTTTAAAATCAATAAATTCAAATTTTAAATTTTTTTTTTAATTAACCTCCATTTAAGAGTTTAGAGGTTAATTTTTTGTAACGATCACTCATTTCAAAAATGGTATACATTTTTAAATTAACTCCTTACAATTTGAGTAAGGAATAATTAAAAGGAAGTTATGGGGTCGTAAGGAGTTGTTTTTCGTTTATAATTTTTTATGTCACATATCGATTTATGTAATTTTGAGAACGCTAAACTCAAATTTGATATCAATTTTAAAATTAACAACTTAAATAAATATCTAAATTTTAAATTTTATTTTCATATTACACATCTAATAAGTAATAATCTACTTACTACAGTAATGAAATTGGCAGCAACTAATAACACATCAAAAATGAAATGTGTGTACGTTTTTAATATTTAATTATACATATTTATATATAAGGATAATATTTAACTATATATATATATATAACACATTAAAACACATTTTTATAAAACATATTATGTTTTAAACAATATAAATTGATTGAACTGGCAATTGATTTAACAACTGTGCAGCATCTGTGATTCCAGATTTATACAATTTAGATTTGGTGACAAAAAATCATCTCTAGTGTACTTCAGTTATTAATGAGTGACTTTTCTGATCAGATTTAATAACAACGGAATGAAAAGTAAACTGAGTTCTAGCCATTCTCCATATTTGGCGATAAAAATATTGTAAGTGCTATTGCACGATGACCATTTTTTTTGACAAACTGAATGCAAACTTTAGAACCTGGTTTTCAATTTTTGAAATATGATCAGTATCCCAACTTTGGTTGTCACATTGGATAATGATACAATTTGTTAAATATTTCTTTGACTCAATATTTTGAGGATATAAAGGTCCTTGAATTTTTAATTCATAAAAAAATTATTTTAAATGTCAATATATCTGCACAAATATTCTCTAAAATATTATATTCGATTTATAAAAATTAATTTAAAAAATATCTAAACACAAATTAGTTTTCCACGGCAAATAAATTACCAGCACCTCAAAGACGGATAAAAGCAGATAAATTGTATAATATGTATAATTATACATAGTTAAAACCCTTAGAACTTATACTATTACCTACAATAGCGAACTTAGAGGTAAAAAATAGTTTATTATCTTGCATACCTTTTCAAAGTCGCATGATCAACAATTATTACATATAGTATAGTTACATAATTAAAACGCAAATAAATAAAAGCAAGAGTATACATTTTGAAATTTAAATAACTTATATTCAATTTTCATATCCATGTTAAAAACAAAATTAATTTTAGTTTTTAATAAGCTGTATTATTAACATTCTAGTTAATGATATTGACATATGAACATCTACGTACTTACCCAACTACCTATATAGTATAATGTCCATGTAACATGTCATCATATGTTATGCGGATGTCATAACACATTCACTCATCAAAATTTTCTCTGAAGTAATTGCCTAAAAACTAAATTTTAGGTTGCAACTACCCTCAATACTGTACGTCCACACAACCATAAACTTACAAACTTATAGCTGCTTTAAAATTTGGCCATATGGTAATTTCTTCTACATTGCCTCTTCGTCAGCTATACCTACCACATACCTACATATTCTTGTTTTTACTCTCTATGTTTTATCACAATCCATTTCTTCGTCTATTTCACATATACTCCGTTCACCCCTTACATAATACCCTGTATTCACTTTTTTTTTTGGTCTACCTCTTTCCCGGTTACATACTTAATATATACGAGATATATTATATCTCGTATATCTGTATTTTCAATACTATCTATTTTAATCCTCTTCTCAACGTATCCACCCTACATCATTACATCATATAATTTTAGTCTATTCTTTCTCAAATAGCTTCCCAATAGTATTATGGTGCTCTGTTTCTCGTCAAAGTATGTGTCAATCACGACGACCTTATGGGTTATGGTCAACCGAGCCTTAATTGGAGACATCATTTATTCTGAAAAGGATGTAACTTTATTACAAACCAATCTTTGAAAGATAAGTATAAGCAGAGGGCCAGTGGCACCGAAGTAGTTTAAAAATACTCGGACAAACAAGCTCGATTATTATATTATAAAACACATAATATATAAATTATATTACATAATAATATTTCATAGTACTATTTTTTATAGTTCTTTTTTCTACAAATAGGTACTATTCATACTATGATTATTTCTCACCACTAGCACAATCCACCCACCACCAAAAACTTTGGTCGGGCGATCAAGTATCCCGAGTTCAACGTTTAGGTACCTAATATATTGACTATATCTTATAGGAGTCCCCGACTGATTTTCGTTAGCATAAAGAGAAATAGTTTCATGAACTGTTTGGTGGTGTCCAGAATGATTGTTCAGCTCCGGCGCGAAGAATTATTCGTGGAGGGGGATGTCAAAATAATAAAATGCTGCCTTAAATATTTATTTTACCAACATGAATTTAATGAAACATTTTTGTGAAAATATTGTTATGTATTAATAGCTAATATGAAAACAAGATTATATAATAATAATTTAAAACAAATTGTTATTAAAATACTTTTTCAAACTATAATGTTAATTAATATTTAAATGAAATAAAAACGCCGGCGGGAAAAATATTGAATAAAATTGAGTAACAGTAAAACAATAATTGATAAAATAATAAATTATTTAAAATGTACATCTAAAAGTATAAAATGAAAGAACTATGCCCCAAAACCAAAAAATACTCGAAATATATGTAATATAATCGAAATATTTGTTTCTTACTCTGACATTTTTTGATTGTACAAAACAAATATGCAAATGCTGAAGTCCTCTCCCTCTGCCTTAGTTATCAGTTATCACATACTTTACATACCGACCTTTCGTTAGAAATTCATAATTAGAAAATTATAAGTAGTCTTTTAAGTACACACAAGACATAACCTATAAATAAATTTATTTGTATTGCTATTCACAAAAATAGTTATTCCTAATTTCATATGTCAGTCCCTTATATGGATGAATACAAAAATAGTAAATACAATAAATTATTCACATCAACGTTTTTGTATTTTTTGTTTCACGAAAAACAATTCGACGACCATTATTTAAATCGTAATTGTACCGACTCGATACAATCAAATTTTCCGAGTGGAGGGAATGTGATCCTAACCCCGGCCCTGTGACAGCTCGTCGAAATTAAGAAAACAAAAGTTGTCTAATTTTAGAATTTTACCGAGAAACTGGGCTTATGTAACTTACTGATAACAAATATAATATCTTTTTTGTACTTAAATTGAAACAATTACTGATAAAGAATGCATTATCGTGAAGAAATCTATTTTTCATTAATAGAGTGAATGTCTACAAATAAGTTTTATAATTTCCACACATATTGTTTTTTTTTTATTTTTCAAAATTAATTTTTTATTTAATATGGATATGGAAATTGAAAGTCAGATATTTAAATTTCAAAATATATGCTCTTGCTTTTATTTATTTGTGTTTTAATTGTGTAACTATACTATATGTAATAATCGTTGATCGTATGACTATAAAAAGCTATGTATGATAATTATCTATTTTTACTTCTAAGTTCGCTATTGTAGGTTATAGTACAAGTTCTAATCTTTTTAACTATGTATAATTTGGATGGCTTTAGCCATCTTTGAAGTGTTGGTAATTTATTTGCTGTAGAAAACAAATTTGTGTTTAATATATTTTCTAAATTCATTTCTACAAATCGAATATAGGTAGTCGAGGTAGACTTAATCAGATGATACCAGTTTGTGGATTTAGATTTAAGTATTCTTTACTTCCATAGACTTTATAACAAATAAAAGTTCTGAATAAATTACAAATTGTTTAATTTTAGGTAAATACCTAACTAGGAATACATTTATTTTTTTATACCTACCGGCTACCTACTATATTCTATTGTAGTAGTTTCAAAAAACAATTTTTTTATTTTTGACTATAAAGCCAATATAATTTTGAAAACAACTTATAATATGAAATGATTAATACAATAAAATAAGGATTCCATTTTTGTGGATGCTGAGAACCCTCAGTTTTAAGCATAGTATGCAGAAATATGGATAATTAGCAAAGAATATATTATTTTTTATAATGACTATCAAGTGTATATAATACTTTTGTGAAGGACAATCAGTAGAACATACACAATTGAAGAGCATTGTGTAAACCTAATTTTTCTCTTAAATATATATATTAATAAATATTATCCATGTGTTTAATGTTTATGATATAATAAACGATTAAACTCCAATACATTTTTTACATATTTCATGTTTGGAAACCCTAATTGAAGAAAACAAAACTCAATAAACATCAAAACTCAACAACTCTATAAGCTATATTTGGGTCTATAGGCTCAATTCAACGTTTATATTTTTTGAATACATCTCTAAAAAAACATGAAAAATATTTTACTCAAACTTGGATAGCTAATTTTTGGTTTAATGTGTTCATAAGGAGTTCAATTCTTTTTAAAAAATTAGGATTCAAATTATTATAAAAAAAAACTTAATGTGCATTTATTGAAAAAATATGTTATTTGCCTACAATTATTTAAAAATATTTACCCATGTTTTAAAGACAGATACATTTTGTTTTTTATCATTTTTTTTTCAGGATTAATTTTTTTTAATAACAATGCAATTATACTAACTAACTGTTCTGAACTTAAATTAGACCGATTTTTAAATTTAGTAACAAGTTGAGTAGTTGTAATTGGTTTTCTTGACAAATAACGACGTACAGATTCTTCATTTATACCATGAGTATCAGAAATTGAAACTGGTAAAAATTCCATTCTTGCTTTTTTATGGGCTGGTTCCAAGCTAAAATATAAATACAAAATAATATTAATATCAACCACAGATAAATTTATTTAAAATGTAAATGTATATAACCTCTGATTAGATGGATCGATTGAAAAACCAACTGAATCATTACTATTGCTTTTCAATAAATCTAAACCTATAGATTTTTTTCTAATGGGTTCACAATCAATATCTGAGCTATCTACGGAGCTTTCAGATTCAGATTCTAAAAAGAAAAACATATAAAATAATTGAATACTAATTTTCAATAATGAAAATATTTACCTGAATCTTTTTTTACTTTTTTTTCTAAGGTTTTCTTTTTTTTTTTAATTGGTACAGTTTGTTTGACTTTTTCATCTTTTTTAGACTTATCATCTTCTTCTAAATCTGAACTTTTATTGTCTTCTTTCTTATCTTCAAGCTTCTTTTCCTCTTCTTCATCTTCATCTTCGTCAGATGTCAAGAGGCTTTTTAAAGCCTTTTCTTCAGAAACTCCTTGCATTTCTTTTGTGACTTTGGCCTCATCATCTGACACACTATAGTAGATTTAGTAATAATTATTTTAAGGTTTATTATAATTATACAAGAATAATTACTTTTCTGAAGAATCAGATATATAATCTAATTCTTTACCTTCGGCATCACCATCATCACTATCCTCAGAGGCAGATTCATCTGACCTTTTAGACTTTTTTTTGGGCATAGCTTTCTTTTTACTTTTTTCTGAAACATAAACATAAAAATTATTTACATTAAACAATTAAAATTTATATACTCTCATCAATAATAGGGCTGTCATTTGTCTCGATATAGGGGAACACTAACAGTTTTAAGCATGTCATCTCCAAGGCTGGTTATTTAAATAATACTAATTTTCTAAATGAAGTCCCAAACAAGGTGTTTAAACAAGGTGTACTGATAATGTGTCATAACTCTGGACCACTATACAAATACTAACTTGATTGACATTTTTCATACAGTTAAATGCTGAATGTATTAAAATGCCTTAAATTTGAATTATTATAATTGTTATTTTATTTTTTTTTTATGAAAATGAATAATTAATAGTTTTTTTTATAGAGTTAGAATCTTAGAAATATAATATAGGTAGGTACATTAGCATTTTAATTTTTAAAACATTTTTATCAAGTTGACACCAATTATAAAATATAATGTATGTATATGTATGTATATGTATATAATATTTAGTATTTACACATTTTCAATAATTTTATCATATTTGAAATCATGAAATATTTATAAATTATAATTGAACATTCTTAATTTAATAAAATATAAACTGGTAGGTTGTCTTCTTAATTTGAATATACTATATTATATTAATGTAATATCATTAATTATATAAACACTAGTATTTATAATCAATAAATATATAAATAAAAAATAAAAAATATTATTTAGAAAAAAATGATTTACTGCGAGACATCTGTATATAAATATTTGTTTAGTAAAATAAACCTTTGTAATTTCTAATATAATTATGTAATTCAGTTAGTTGTAGGTTAGTTTCTTTTTCTGAAATTGTTCTTATTTTAGGTGGCTTTCTTTTTATTCTCTTTTTACTAAAATAGAGAGATAAATTCGGGGAAAAGATGCTACACTTCAAAATCGGAGCAAGTCTTCTGATAGAAAAGTTATGCACAGATTAAAAAAATAATAATAAACATTTTAATAAAACTATAAGCTTCTAGCTCCACTCAGAACCTAAAATATGTATGATATATAGTAACACAAGTTAAAATAAATTATTAAAACTAAAAATGGCCAACTAATGGCAGTCAAATTGTTCATCCAATCAGAGCAACTTTCTCTATGGCCACACTCTCTATCAAGGCACTCTAGGTAAAGGTAAAGACTTAGTAAATGAGTATAAGTAAAGTAAGTGTTTAATTATATTTTTTATATTGATGTATGTATTAACTGATTTATTTACTGATTTAACTATGAAAAAATATAATTCTATTTTATCTTTAAAACTTAATTAAAACAATTTGAAGTATAAAAAAGATGTCAAATCGGTTTTTTGCTCTTCTGAACAATTGGGAATATGTACCTTATAACAAATAACATTATATACAACAATATAATTTATTGAACTTTACTTTTTGTATGATAGTGGCAAAATGTATTTCTTCATTTTATTTTTTATTTGAAATTTTATAGTATCTACAAAAATATATTGTTTACCTTTTTGTTTCTTTTTTTTGTCAATTTTTTCTTGATCCGTTTCATCATCTTCATCAGAATTATCTCCATCAGATTCAACCCACTCTTCCAATTCAGAAATTTTAAGTTCTAATAATATAAACCAGACAAAAATATTATCAAGAAAATAAAACTAAATTATTTCTCAAACCTTTGCTTTTCTTATTTTTTGTTCCCTTTATTTTTTCATCTTCTTCAAACACTTCATCATCATCAGTTTTTAATCTTTTTTGTAACATTACGGTAAAATGATTCATAACTTTATTACGTCTATAAAATATAAAGAATTTATTTTTATATTTTATATAAAACTTTTTATTGACAAATTAAAACCTTCCAAATTCTTCTTCAGCTTCCTCTACAGTTAATGTTTTATAACGTTGTACTGGTTGAAAATTATACCATTCCTCTAATTTGAAAGCATTTATAACATTATCTTCTCCATGGGTAAACAAATAATATGAAGAATTATCAGTTATTCCTCCTTCACGTACTCCTCGAAATCTAAAATAAACATTAATAATATAGCAATGTTCTCATACTATAGCAAAAATTTGTAATTCATTATTGGTTTTAAAAAAACCTACTTCTTTCCTCCGACTTTCAATAACCAAGGACTGGATTCAGATACTTTTTTATTACCTCCATACCGTCTTTTTTTGGCTTCTTGTCTAGCTTCACGACCAAATTCACTTCCTGCTCCAAATCTATAAACATTTTATACATACACAATATATAATAAATATATACATAAAATCATAGATAATACAATTATTTTTCGAAATTAACTTACTTAGGCATTTCTTCTTCTGTAAAACTTGAAACTAATTTATTAAAATCTCTTTCCATTCTTGCATGAGACCATTTTGAAAAGTCAATATTTAAATTGCTATTGAATTTCATAATTTGATGTTTTACATCAGCTGCTCTAATTAAACAAACGTAAAAAAAAAAAATAATAATAATTAATTTATCTATTAGATATTAATTGTAAGTTGAGACCAGATTTGTTTGTAATTATATGTCTTTACTGAGACTACAGATATAATTGAGAGACCTTTATTACTGGTTTATTTTATTTTTAAATTTTTCATATTTATTTGTATTTTTCCTGTAGATATTTTATGATTTTTTTTTATGAAACATCATACACTTTTTAAAAATATTTTAGCACACTAAACTCTTAAAAATTTGGTTATTAGTTATTACTACTATTTGTAGTACCTATATAATTTATATAATTATTAGTATTGATAATTTATTGCTTATAGGATTGGCAGTACAACAAATTTAAAAGCAAAACAAATCATATTTAATAAGTTCATGTTGTATAACTACCTATACACAATGCATTATACAGACAAACTACACAAAAATTATTTTTATTTATTTAAAGTATGATACCAGTTATAGCAATTTGTACAGAAGGATTTTATATTAGTTATTTAAATAAACCAACCAAATGGTTAATATATTATAATAATACAATTTTTTTTTCTATTGATATTTTCTTTCTTTTCTATACAGGGTCAGCATATTAAATTTTGATTCTCCATATTAGTCTATCTATCACATCATGTGGTGTGACATTTATGTTTATGTTTTTATACACAAAAACCATCCATATTTTCTTAAATCTTCCACAATTTCACTCTTTACCTCTATCTGCCTTTTTTTTCTACCACTGAAGTACTTTATTAACAAATAAATATATGCACATTCAATGTTTTATACCATAGATTTGCACAGTGTTGTTTTAATTTCAGTGTAGTAAATAAAAATACCAAATTTTGAACTAGGTATATAATATCATAATTACTTAACCATTTAAGGCTATTGTTGTATGGTTCATTAAAATAATGGTACTTTTTGATTATTATGACTACCAACAATAGTTAAACTATAATATAATTTTGATTTAAATATAAAAATAAATATGTGTTAAGCTCACAAAATAGAATGAAAAAATTGTTGAAATTGACAAGTCTTTTTACAACACATAAAACAATGCTGGATGAATTTTACCGAAGCAATAGATTTAAGGAGGCCTATGTAGAAAGATAAAATAATGTTTTTTAATTAAGATTAAAGATAGGACTGCATTTACACTATTAGATGTAATCAAAAAATAATATTAAGGTAGGTACAACAACCATCTATTCTGATTGTTGGCATGGTTATAAAACGGATGAATTAAAACAGGCTGGTTTCAATCCCCCTAAAAGTTAATCACACATACAATTTTGTAGATCAACAACAGGTGGTCACACTTGGCATATTGAATGGTTGAGGAGATCAGCTAAATGGTGAAATAAAACACATAGGGAAACATCTCGCCAGCATCTCAATAGCTATTTGGTAGAGCTTATGTGGCGTCAAGCTCTTTAAACAGATAATCCTTTTGTAGTAATACTAACCAATATATCGCAATATTTCCCACTTTGTGTAAATTAATAATTTTATTAACTATATTTAATATTATATTATTTTTATATTTAAATCAATATTATATTATATTTTAACTATTATTGGTAGTAGTGATAACCGAATCAACATCCCGGAAAATCATCAATAGTCGCGATAACCAAAAAGTATCAAAATGATATTATAAACAAAGTTGAAAATGTTAAATATATTTAGTTCTTACACATAATAGAATTAATAATAATTAAAAATATTATAAAGATGTAAATCGTGTGATAAAAATTATTTTACTAACTTGAGAACTTTTAAAGAAAATTCTTTTATAGTGCTAAACTGTGACAAAGGTGTGTACGATTTACTGAATCCTTCCATTTTCTGAAACCATTCAAATTTATTATTTTATTTCATTGCACGATAAATTAGTATATAAATCTGAAAAAATAAAAACGATTTTTCGTTATCACGTATTATACCTGTGGATAACTCATGTCTCGAATACTATATTTTTTTTTTAAGAAACGATATAACAACTAAAACTAAAATAAACAATACATCAACGAAATTTAAAAACTTAAACACTATCGCATGAACAACACGAATGACACCAGACAAAAGAAATACAGCTAAACTAGACTAGAACCAGAGCACTTTCAACACTACACAATATCTATTTTGTAATAATACCAAATACTATGATAGTAGGTGACGTATCAACATAGATAATAAAAATTATTATCACTGCGTACTGATCATTTTTATTATCACTGTGTGGTTGGTATTGATAACAAATAATTATAATTGATATTTGATTGTAAATTGACTGCAATAATCGGATTTCTAAATTCTAAATCACATTAGTAAAATATGAACTACCTAATAAATATAGTATGACAATACTATAATAATAATAACACTAAAATTAATATAATATTAATATTTGTACCTGAACATCGTTTAAAATAATATACTTGTAAGACTATTAGCACAATTTTCCCATATTAATTTACATTTAAATTTCCATGATTTACTCACGATCACATAAGTCTAAAGTTATGATATACTATTATAATTTAATATAAGTACAGTCATTTTTAAGCATGCTTGTTCTATTTCTATGATTATATTGTGTATAAATTATTGATTTAATAATTTTTTTGAAAATTTTGAGTATGCTTAAAAAATCATCTGTATAATATTCTAAATATTAAAGAAATATGGCATTTAATAGAATAATTTAAGCAACTTCTATAAATTGGGCACTTTAGTTTACGTATCTAAGTACTTACTAACCTATCTCATTATAATATATACAGTATATGTTTACTTATGTAGGTAGGTACTCTGGATACTCAATAAGTATACATTAATTCGAAATTGTTATACTACGTGACACTAAAATGCCAGTTATAACTTAAAAAAAAGAGTGGATATTGGGAATGGGAGCGGCCACTGCTGTAAGTGAGAAGTTGGAAAGGTAGAATACACAAAGTTATTTCATTTATATCTGTCAGGAACGTTAATCCATTGCTTGACATTTCTGAGTACAATTCGATAATACATGATTTGAAGTGCCGTACATTTTTTTGTGATTTTGGTTTAAATTCGATTTCAAAACGCTTATTAAAAAAAGGATAAAAAGTCGTCCGATGATTTTGGACATTTTATCACATCTAGGTCCAATATAAGTATTATTACTAAGTTTCAAATCTCTAAATATATTTATAACCGAATTACAGCAAAAACTCCTAAAAATTAAAATTCCTTAAAAGCTCAAAAATGGTTCGAAAGTTTTGGCGACAATACCGTAAGAAAGTAAATCAAAAAGGCAACAAAAAAGGTTTTTTTGTGATTTTTCAATTAAATTATTTTTTCTGGTAGAAAACGTTGTCCGTGTTTTTATAAAATAATGAAATCGTGAAATTTTACGTTTGCTCCTTTTTTTTCCACTTAAGTGCTTTTATTTGAAAAATAGCGTCAAAAATCAAATGAATGACTTCTCTAAAGTACAATCTAGAAAAATTTAATTTCAGTAAAAGTTGCTACACGTAAAATTCGGAGCAAGTTTAATAAGAAAAAACGTGACTACAGACTAGAAGAAAGAAAAAAATAAGAAAAAATAAATATCTTAGTAAAACCATTAGCTCCCTCGCTACGATCGGAATTTGAAATATAAACACGTAATAATAATATCCCTACAGTTCCTACATTTCTATAGTTAGTATGTAAATAAGTACGTTAATATTCGCTGGACATTTATTATATGCATGTTTTTTTTTTTTTATTCTATAAACAAAAACAACAATTTAATTTATGTTTGGTCTAGAAACCAAACTAGAGGGTTTAAGAGTCGTAGTTCTTTTAAGTGTCATTGGAATTGATCGAATCGTTTAATCTACCAGAAATGTAGTCAATCGTTTATTCTTGAGGAATTTTTTGAAGCAATAACAAACTATTATGGGCCCAAGAAACGTGTCATAGAAGAGTAGTTCACATTTTTCAAACGAAAACATCAAGAAAGTGAATTATTTGCCAAATTTTTAAAATATTAGAAATCTGACGAAAAAATGTGACTTGAATAATAATAATATATATGTACGATTGGTCTTGGTAATACAAGATTGACACTTACAATAATGACTATTACGTGCCCCTGATTTGGTATCAAAACGTGTTGTTAGTAGATTTCCATTCACTTTGCTGGAAAGTCGCGAGCGAAAGAATCAAGAAATCTAGTGGCGTATCAATCGAATAGTTGGCGAAAACCGGAGGGCATAGATCGGCGTCCTTTCTCTAGTGTTAATAGTTCGAACTACGGATATAGATGCAAGGTATCTATTCGTGATTCTAAAAGCGGCTCTAAATAGGATAATCTTTAACCGTGGTTATAGCAAAATAATCTAAGACCGGGCCTCGCAATGTAAAGTAGGTATTTCATTTTGAATCATAATATACAATTATATTATGATTTAAGAATTTCGGAGTTGTGAATAGTTGTTGGCAATTCTTATCAATTCAAAATTTGAAAATCAATTTTATATGAGAGAAGTAGTGTTTATAAGTTGTAACATTTTAAATTTGGAGTAAAATAAGTATTCAGTGTATTATTTAGTTGCATTGGTTAATTATTATTATCATCGAACAAATTGAATACGGCATAAAAAGGCATTGATAATCTATGGACAAATTAGTAAATGTTCAGTGATAATGAGATCTGGTTACCTTATTGATATGAAATTTTATTTAATCTATCACTATTTAGTAAAGTACCAAGTAGGAAATATGTGATGTTATAAAATACTGTTCGCTTTAATTATGATACTTTACTTGGAAAATTACTAAGAATAGGAGAATTTCAACTCGGTGATACAGTTTTTCATAGAAAATGCGACTAATATTATTTAGAATACTTAAATCGTACAAATTAAACATTTCGAAAAAACACAATATCAATTCATTTATATATACGAGTAATCGGTGTACTTCAAACAGTTCAAACGAGGATGGTCGAATCGAAGGATCTCTTAAATATCAAAATGTCCCGAGTGAGAATATTCGCAATTTCAGCATTATAGCTCATGTTGACCACGGTAAAAGTACATTGGCAGATCGACTATTAGAATTCACTAAGACTGTTTGCATTGAAGATGGTAAAGCGCAAGTCCTGGATAGGTATAATTAATTTGAATCCATAATAATCGACTCCTTATTCTTTACACGTATATATACATATAGGTATACGTGAAATGGTATTTTGTTGGTCACAGATAATCTTCAAAACTGTTGAATTTATCAACTTGTTTTTTTTTTTTTTGAAAACCGGGATTTAAGCCCAATTCCGATTCTGTAACTTAATAATTTGATAATCAGCAAATATTCTGAAGCTCTGTCAATAATTAGTCTAACTGCATTATTTAAATACCTACTACAAAAAAATTTTGAAAAAACACTTTTAATACTTATTTGGTAGATATTGAAACAAAATTTTTTATTTTATGGGTAAAGTTGGTGGGACAGCTGGTATTATTGTGTAATTCTATATTATTTATGAAATTTCTAAATTACTAAATACAATAAAATTTCAAATTATAACTATACATATTAGATAGTAAAATGTAAAATATATTTTTTTTTTTTATTGCAGGTTACAAGTTGAAAAAGAAAGAGGAATAACTGTAAAAGCTCAAACGGCTTCGTTGTTTTACAAAAGTAATACAAACAATGAGATATACCTGTTAAATT